GATGTCAAATTAACTGACAGGCTAAGCAGATCAAATTCAAATGCTTAGAGGTTCGTCGACATCAACTACTTTTTTCAACAAAACAAGCCAATTAAACTAAATTCAAGACTCTTACCAACAACAAAGTGGCCGGTATCCGATCCGATGGTGGTAAACGAGGCGGAGGCGAGCGAGTTGTGTGTGTGTGTGGGGGGGGGGCGATCATGTCAGACGCTCGTGATGAGTAGAAGGACGGCACCTGCAGGGCGTGCCGACGTGTTGCCTACCTATGTGTGTGTAAAATGGGTTGCCGAGGCACTGTATTCGCTGACCGCCTGCGACTACACTCATTTTGACCTGCGATTGCACTGATTTACTGCATGATTACATGGGATTACGCGATATTACGAGGGATTACGTGGGATTACGAGGGATTACGCGGGATTACACAAGATTACGAGGGATTACGCGAGATTACGAGGGATTACGCGAGATTACGAGGGATTACTGGTGTAATCCCTGGCACTTGTACACAGGATTACGCGAGTGGTGGCCCCCTCGTATAGAGCCGCCAAGCCTCGCTTGAGCCGCCGCCGTGCTCGGGCCGCGTGCTCGTTCCGCCCGCAGCCCCCCTGGCGCCTTGTGCTACTTCGATACGGGTCGCGAGTATGCCGCCCAGTTCAGCGCGGGGCGAGGCGCGGGGGCAGCGGCCCCATCTGAGCCGAGGGGACCAAAAGGGGCCAGAGGGGACCCAAAGGGGACCAAAGGAGACAGAAGGGGACCAAGGGAGACAGAAGGGGACCAAAAGGGGCCCGGCTGAAGCGCTTCGCGCAATGCGCTCCGCCCGCTCCTCCCCGCGCCGCACGCGCGCGTGTTGGGGACACGGGAGGGTGAACGACCCCAGCCGGCTCGAGCCCGGCCCGGGGTGGCAGTGGCGTGCATCCCCTTTGCTTTAGGCCGCTCGCTCTCCCCACCCGCCCCGCCTGGAGGGTCCCGCCCTTTGAGGTGGGGTGCTGCGCGCTGCGCCGCTTGTTTCGCAGAATGAATGAAGGACAGAGGGGTTGTTTCTCCCCAAGCGGCAACGCTAGGTGGGGTGCGAAAAATTTTGGCTCTGCTCGCTCTTATCCGCTCTCCCTCCACCACCCGCCTGCCACCCCGTCCACCCCATATCTCTTTTTTCTGCACATCGTGCCTACGTACATTCTGTCTCCCTCCTCGCTGCCTGATTTCCATCTATCCATCCTCGCTACGCCGCCATCATCCCGCGTACGGTTTTTCTCCTGTTTCCACTACAATTTCTCATCATTTACCGCCCGTGTCTTTTCCTCTCCTCCTGCCCCCTTTGTCTCCTCTCGTCTCCCCTCTGCGTCCGCGGGCGCCGCAGTGTGTTGGGTAATTGGTGCCACCACGGTGGGGCGGCGGCGAGTCGAAGTAGGTATTTCGGCCAAGTCGTGAGCGGCGGGGCGGGGCGGCGCACGGCGAAGCGGGGCTGGCGGGGCTGGCGGGGCTCCTCCGGGCGGCGCGTCATACGGTGGGCCTTCCCTCTCGGCCAGCGGCC